CCGACGCAAACCTGATGTCAGTATGGTGCGTGTTTGGGGGTGCATGCTGCAGTACATGGTACCACAGTCGCAGCGTGGGGGGAAGCTGGCGCCTAAGGCTCGCTGGGGGTTGCACTTGGGTGTGTCAGCTGCGAGCAAGGGCTGGACCGTGCTGGACTTGGAGTCCAACCGCCTCATCACCACTGTGGAAGCTGTGTTTTATGAGACCATGTCCCTGGCAGGATGGAAGGCTTGGCATCAGCAGGAGCATGGGGGGCGTTCGATGCCCTATGCGCCCCTTCCCTCACTCTTCCCGATCACTCTCGAGGAGGCGGAGGAGGAGGAGGAGGTGGTCGCACCTCCTGCTATGCCCTATGTCCCTACCTCAGTCCCCACCCCACCTCCGCCTTCAGTCTACCCTCGTGTGATCCCCCCTGCCCCGCCTTCTTCCTCCTCACCCCCCTTGGCTTCCCCCCCTCCTCCTCCTGTTATTCCATCTCCCCTTCCACCCTCCATCCCTCCTGCACCTGCTCCGCCCTCCTCGTCGACTTCCACGGCGCCGCCCGTTGGTGAGGGGGGGGATAGAGGTGCCACCGTCTGTGGAGATCACCGACGGGCAGCGCCTTGAGTCTGAGCAGCTGCAGGACGAACGCAGTATGGATGGAGTACAGCAGAGTGGGGGGCAGGAGATAGGGGAGCAGCAGTCAGGGGAGCAGCAGATAGGGGAGGAGCGGATTGAGGAGCAGCAGATGGTGGACCAGCAGCTAGGGGAGCAGCAGACAAGGGAGCCGCAGACAGGGGAGCAGGAGATGTGGGGAATTAGAGATGGTGGTCGTGTGTTGGCCTCTGGGATGATCACTGCGCCACTGCGTCGCTCCACTCGCATCACTCGTGGTATCCCGCCTCTTAAGTATGCTTGGGCTTTAGTGGTTGAGCCAGCGGGATTGGATGACGAGGAGGAGGACGAGGAGTGGACAGGCCTGGACCCTGACGTGGTGGCTGACCCTGAGAGGCAGTGGGATATAGCGAAGATGACAGTGAAGGAGGCCTTAGGCTGCTGGAAGGGCGACAAGGTGAAGGAGGCGATGGATGAGGAGATGCGGAGCTTGATTGAGCAGGGGACGTGGAAGTTGGTTCCGCGTCCGCCAGGGGTGAATGTGATGAAGAACCGCTGGATTTTGAACACCAAGTTCCGACCGGATGGGATAGTGGAGCGTGAGAAGGCGAGGCTGGTGGTGAAGGGGTTCACGCAGGTGGCAGGGGTGGACTATGAGGAGACGTACGCCCCTGTGGGAAGCTATGTGACGGCACGTGTGCTTCTGGCAATTGCAGCTGCACTTGATTTGGACATGATGCAGCTGGATGTGAAGAACGCGTTCCTCCATGGCATGCTGGACCGAGACCTTTACATGGAGCAGCCGAGCTACTACGAGGATGGGACTCCTCGTGTCTGTAAGTTGGTGAAGAGTCTGTATGGGCTCAAGCAGAGCCCGATGCTATGGTATGAGGCCTTGGATGGGGTGCTGCTTGGGGCTGGATGGAAGAAGAGCAAGGTGGATGAGGCTCTGTACTTCAAGAGTGATGCTGAGGGGGAGATGTGCTGGCTGCTGGTGTATGTGGATGACCTGCTTGCTGCCAGCCGCAGTCGGAGCTTGCTAGGGGAGCTGCGTGACCTGCTGCAGAGTGCCTTTCAGCTGCGGGAGATTAGCCCCGTGGAGAAATATCTGGGGTTGCAGCTGATTCGGGACAGGCCTACGAGGAGGCTGTGGCTGCACCAGGGGGCCTATGTGGACAAGGTCCATAGGCGCTTCTTTGACGGGGAGCAGCCGCTGCGAGTGCCTCGCACCCCTCTTTCCTCTGACCCTTTCAGTGTGCAGACCTTCAAGGATGTGGGATGGCAGTCTCGCCAGGAGGAGGAGTACAGGCAGAAGGTGGGATCCTTGCAGTTCGCGGCCTGTACCACCCGTCCCGACATCTCGTTTGCCTGCAGCAAGCTGGGGTCGGGCCAGACTGTGCGGAGTGATCAGCACTGGAAGGAGTTGGACCGGTGCTTGGCGTACTTGGTGGGGAGCAGGGATGTGGCGCTGGATTTTGGTGGGGGGCCGGAGTCCTTGGAGCTAGTGGGCTACGCCGATGCTGATGATGCGGGAGACAAGCAGAACAGGACCAGCACTGGTGGCTACATCTTCGTGCTCGGGGGTGCTGCTGTCTCTTGGGCGAGCCAGAGGATTCGTTGCGCCACCCTCTCCTCCATTGAGTCTGAGTATGTTGCTGCTGTGGAGGCTGGGAAGGAGGCGCGCAGGCTGCGCTTCCTGCTGGCAGAGTTTCAACTGCTGAGGAGTGAGGAGCCCACTACTCTCTTTGTGGACAACTCCTCTGCCATTTCAGTGGCAGGTGGCATGGGGCTCAAGGGGAGCCTCAAGCACATGGAGCGTCGTCACATGTGGCTGCAGCACATGGTCAAGCGCAGGAAGCTGCAGCTGCAGTACATCCCTACGAGCGAGCAGCCTGCTGACTACCTCACGAAGGCATTGCATTTCCCCGCCTTCAGTCGTTGCTTCGAGGCTGTGGGGCAGGTGAGGCTCTCGAGCGAGGGGAGTGAGACCCAGACACTCCATGATGTGGATGGTGCCATGGCCTATCCATGGCTGGTGCGGTGCGTGTTTGCACTTTGAGAGTGCTTCGTTTGTGTGTGTTTCCCTTTGTTTTGGCGTGTATGCGTGTATGCATGCCCTGTGATTATAAAGGGCCTTGCTGTAGTATGGCAGGGGAGTCTTAGAGGGCCCTACGACAGCAAGGGCCCTCGACGACCGTTTGACTTGGCAGGTCGACTATGAAAGACCAAGACGAGCAGTCCAGCACCGACCCTATGATATGGCGATGGTTGCGTAGTGACGCGATGTGACAACGGCAGCACTAAACGGTCATTGCTGGGGTGGTGTTAGTCTAGGGAAATCGTGGGCATGCTTCTTGGGTGGTCTTGGTGGTTGTGGGTGATTCTCTGTGAGTCTCGCCATTTCTAGTTGTGCTGGGAGAATTGGCGAGCTCGGCATTGACTTCCCTGCTGAGTTGGGTTGGGAAGTTGACGAGGCGCGTTCGCTCACCCACACACCACTTTCGTGGGGTTGGGTTACTGCGCAGTGCCACGCCAACTTTGTGAAACCTTCCCGTAGCCTATATCTAGTTGTGTGTTTGTTTTTGTATTCATAGTTGATATTGCAATTCTACTTGGCCCAAAAGCTACTTCAATCCTCATTAAGTCCTTGGAGGCAAACTCTACCGAAACTCTACCAAGTTGTGGGCGCAACATCATTCTCATAGCAGAAACTCTCTCGTTATCGCTACGCTCTCTAATATATTCCTTCACCATCCCCTCCCGACCACCCCCCTTTCCCCCCCCCCCACACCCCTCACCCTCATCCCCCCTCCATCCCTTCACCTCCCACCCAGGTTCGTGCCGTTCTTGTCCTATCCTCCCGTCTGTGCCCCCCGGGTATTGAAGGAACGCTCTTTGCCGTCTTCAACTCCACACCCCTCCATCCCCTCCTCTCCTCCTCGCCTCCCTTTCCTTCTCCCACCTCTCATCCAGGTTCCGCGAAGTCAAGTTGCGACAGCGGAAGCCTCCGCTGGCGCAATCGTGATCGTATAAACTCCATGCGAGCGTCACCCACTGCATGGATTCAAAAGTATCTACATAGCGAACGCGGACATCACGCTCCGTTTGACATGAATGCTCCGCTTCAGACAGGATGCTGCCACCAGGGATTGGAATAGCGACCTGCATGATTGGTGGGTGTGGTTGAGAGAGTTGGACAAAACGTTGTGCGACGCAGAACATCTTACTGAACCGTGTTAGATGAAAACAGTTCAGTAAGATGTTCTGCGTTCCACTGTTGCGGACCTTGTCAACCGAACAAAACCGCTTGATTTGAAGAGAAAGGAACGCGTAGACTGGACAGACCAATCCCCAAGGCGGTGTTTTGCGGCAAACGCGCGGGAAGCAAAAGTGAGTCTGCTGTCAGGTTGTTCATGCGACAGCCATCGCAAGTGCGAAAGCTGTCGCAAATACTGTCGACAGTGTTCTTCACCGACCAAATACGACCCAATCAGAGCATTTGAAATTCTCAACGCGGAGGTTTCGAGATGGGAAAAGCGGCGCCATCCAATCAGAGTTCAAGCGACGATATATCCCTATTCTAGGCTTTTCCAGATCCACATTCTTGCAAGCAACCCATCCCCGTTTCGCCTCGTCTCATGCCTGTTCCTGATTCAAAAGTTCATCACGACTCACATTTTCCGTTCCTCGGTTTCTCCACTTTTCCCTTTTCCTGATTCAAGTGAGCCTCCAAGTTTCCAGCTTCTGTAGGAGGCCCACACTCTTTGTTCTCAGCCGTCTCTGGGTAGAGACGTCTTTACCAGTCGAGGACACTAATAGGTAGCTTCATTAGTATTTTGCCTGCTCACCTTTGTAACCAGCTTTCATCCCGGCAGAAAACATTAGTTTTGCCCATCTCGGCATCTCCGAGATTTATCATCAAATGAAGTCTACTTACAATCTGATGACCTTGTAACCGTGTAATTCTCTTTTCCTGACAATATCCGGAACCAGCCATTACTTTGGCAGGATCTGTATGCCCTAATCCGTCGTTCGCTGGTCAGAATTTGGAAAACTTTGTTGTTTTGGCTATCGCACCAGATGGCCTTACGACAATGACATAGCTGTAGCTGCTGAATACGCATCGTAACCGGACTGACTGCAGTTACTTAATCGTCAGAACCCTAACCTGATTATAGATGCGTGAATGATGCCTAAGCCAGATGGAGTTGAGTCTACGAGTATATGAGGAGGAGCCCTGGCTTGGCATCCCACGGTGAACAGACTTGACCGTTTAGCATCTCACTTGACGGTCAGCCCTTCGCCCACAATTCCGTAGCCACTAGAACAACTTCGCCATCCATCGCGCGCATCTCAGCCGTCCATCTCCACCGGTGGCTCCTCAACTCATTGCCTGTGCTCCACCATGCTTCTCGTCTCGTGGCTCAACTCGTTGCGGCGATGCTTCGGCACGCCTTTCCTCATCCTCGTCTTCAGCATCTACTGGGCACAGGTGATATACTTCAAGTAAGGCTACGAGATGGCTGCCGACGGGTTTTGACAGATTCTGACGAGTTGACGGAATTGATTATATTTGACGGATTTTGTAATATTTTTATGGCTTCTGAGGGGTTTTGACGGATTTTGACGGGATATGAGGCGTCCTGTAAGCGGCTTCTTACTTGTCTCACCACTTCACCGTTTTTCGCTCTCCTCCACTCATTGTATCCCTTCCTCCTGGGTGGCCATGAGCATTCTGGTAAAGGCCCATCTCAGGCCAAGCTTCTTTTGTTCCTGCCTCTTTCCCTCCCTTCTTATCCCTCCACCGTACTGCACCCCTCCCCCACTCATCCATAACCCCCAGGGCTTCCGCGCGTTCCCCTGGACGGGCATCAACATTCCGGTGAAGGATCATCTGAAGCTGGGTCTGTCCTTGCGCCTGCCTCTTCCCCTCCCTTCCACCTTTCTTCACCCCTCCTCACCGTTCTTCAATCCACCCCAAATCATTCATACCGTTCAGGGCTTCCGCGCGTTCCCCTGGACGGGCATCAGCATTCTGGTGAAGGACCATCTGAAGCTGGGCCCAGCAGCAGCGCAGCTCATGACCTCCACTGCCTACATGCCGTGGAGCGTGAAGCCATTATATGGGTGAGTGGTGTGCCCCACATGGGTGAGTAAAGGCTCTCCGTATCGACCCAAGCGCACCTCATGACCTCCACTGCCTACATGCCGTGGAGCGTGAAGCCATTATATGGGTGAGTGGTGTGCCCCACATGGGTGAGTAAAGGCTCTCCGTATCGACCCAAGCGCACCTCATGACCTCCACTGCCTATATGCTGTGGAGTGTGAAGCTGTCGTACGGGTGAGTGGTGTGTGGCAGCCCTGCATGGTTGCGTGAGTGAGCGTTAAACTCCTTTAAGGTTTGTATTATGTGACGCCCAGACGTGTTAACCCTCTTGAGTTGACTCAGCAGCACAGCTCATGACCCCTATCCCGCTTCTGCAGGATCTTATCTCGCTATGTGCCGATAAGGGGCGGACGACGCACCCCCTACATCATCATCGCCAACGCCCTCTCACTGTTCTCCTTGCATCATTCTCCCACTCCCTGTGCCTGCTCCATCCATTCCCCACCATTCTACAGGATCTTGTCTGACTGTGTGCCTATAAGGGGCGGCCGGCGCATCCCCTACATAATCATCGCCAACGCCCTCTCGCTGCTCTCCTGGCTCGCCCTCGCGTTCGTGCCAAGTCTCGCTGCCTCCCCCGCGCCCTTCACGCTGCTCCTCGTGCTGCAGAACGTTGGGGCGGCCATGGCTGACGTGGTGATTGATGCCATGGTGGCAGAAGCGGCAAAAGGGGACAAGTGAGTGCTTTCTATGAAAGATACTGGTACACAAAACCCGAAACCCTGCTCTGAACCCGAAACCCTAAGCCCGGGAAATGGCACTCTCTAGGTGCTCTGCAAGCCGCCTCCCCTGCGCCCTTCACGCTGCTGCTCGTGCTGTGGAACCTGGGGGCGGCCATGGCTGACGTGGTCATCGATGCTATGGTGGCAGAAGCGGCAAAAGGAGAATAGTGAGTTTTTTTTTTGTGAAATACACATCCGATCATACACTATCAAATCGGTACTCTAAGCCCTACTTCAAAACCGAACTCAGAAACCCTAAGCCCTGGAAACGGGCGACTTGCAGTCCCTCTCGTGGTTCTCAATGGCAGCAGGAGGTGTGGTGGGGAGCCTCCTAGGCGGCTTGTTGGTTCATTGCTCATCCCCCGCCCTCTTCTGTGCCCCTCCTGTGTGCCCCCCCGTCTGCAGGGAGAGGTACGCAGGTGATCTACAGTCCCTCTCGTGGTTCTCCATGGCCGCGGGAGGTGTAGTGGGGAGCCTCCTAGGCGGGCCGGCTTTAAAGACGCTGCAGCCGCATGGCATGTTTGCACTCTTCGCGTTCTTCCCCCTATCGCAGCTCGCCATGTGTTTCATGTCGTCTGAGAGAAAGCTTACAGGGTGGACGGGGAGCGGGGAGGAGGACGAGGGGGACGAGGAGGAGGAGGAAGAGGAGGGGGTGGAGGAGGAGGAACGGGAGGGGGAGGAGGGAGAGGGCGTGAGGGAGAGTGGGAAAGGAGCAAGAGCAAGTGAGGGGGATGAGAAAGAGAAAGACAGTGTGAGTAATGGTACAGCAGCAGCAGCACCATCCTGTGTTCAAACTGAACGGAATTCTGATGCGACCATTGACTCTGCTGCTGATTCCGTGGTTACAGATGGTTGTGCAAGTTCGCATGGTAACCGCATGAGTGTTGGCAGCGAGAGTGAGGAGAGTGGCGAGCTGGGGGAGTGGGAGCAGGTGGTACCAGAGCAGGTGGTACCAGAGCAGCAGGAAGAGGAGAGTGTGGAGGGCAAAGGGAAGGAAATGGGTAGTGATCTTTTCGGACCCTCAAGGGGAAAGACTGATGAAAAGTCTCTCGAGGCTATAGGCACGAGGAAGAAGGATGGAGAAGGAAAAGAGGGGGACGAGGTGGGTGGAGGAAAAGAGGAGGGTGGGGGCGAGAAGAGTGTGGCAGGAGAGCAGAGCACAGGGCTGCGACAACGGAGAGGCAGAGAGGGGGGTGACAGGGAAGGAGGGAAGGGAAATGCAGCTGAGACTGCAAGGGCGGAGGGAGCAGAGGAGGCGGGGAAGAGGAGAAGTGAGGAGAGAAGTAGAAGGAAGGCAGCAGGGGGGTTAGGGAGGAAGGTTCTTGATCTGGTGACGGCTCTCTGGCATGCTGTCATGTCTCCAGACATCTTCTGGTGAGTGCATGTTCTGATGAGCGCAATTTCTGGTGAGCGCAATTTCTGGTGAGCTCATTTTCTGGTAAGAATTGACTCTAGGCATCTCAAAGGTTCCATTATGACGGCTCTGTGGCATGCTGTCATGTCTCTGGACATCTTCTGGTGAATGTGTTTTCTGGGTGAGGGCAATGTTTGGTGAGCGCACATTCGAGTGAGTAAGCAAATTTGAAAGCATCGCAAAAGCTCCATACACTGATGGCTTTGTGTCGTGCTGTCTTGTCTCCAGACACATTTGGTGACCGCAAGTTTCTGTCATGTGCACATATATAGTATATGTATATATTTGTGCATATATCTGTGTATATGTTTGTGTACATATTTGCATATATGTTTGTGTATACATGTGTATATATATCTTCTCTCTCTCTCATGTCCTCTCCCCTCACCTCTCCTCTTCCTGCAACCCTTCAGGCCCATTTCATGGTTCATGACGTCATGTGCTGTCATGCCCAACCTAACCTCCTCCTTCTTCTACTTCCACACCAACCATCTGCACCTCTACCTCCTTACGAACCATTTCCAACCCCATCCGTCGTCCCTCTGCCTCCACTGCGCTTACCTCTCCCGCATTTCCCCAGGCCTATGGCGTGGTCCATGACGTCCTGTGCAGTCGCGCCCAGTTGACTTTTGAGTCGACTCAAAAGAGTTGAGTTGACTTTTGAGTCGACTCAAAAGTCAATTCCCCCAGGCCTATGGCGCGGTCCATGACGTCATGTGCAGTCGCGCCCACCCTCACCTCATCCCTCTTCTACTTCCACACCAACCATCTGCACCCCCAACCTTACATTTCCGCTTCCCCTTCCCCCTCTGTCCTTCCCTCTCTGCCCTTCCTCCGCTGTTCCTCCCTCCCGCCCCCCTCCCCAGGCCTATGGCATGGTTCATGACGTCATGTGCTGTCATGCCCACCCTAACCTCCTCACTCTTCTACTTCCACACCAACCCCTCCCTTGTATGCCCCACCTTATTTCTCTGCTGTCCTTTCCCTTTCCCCCTCCCCCCAGGCCCATGGCATGGTTCATGACGTCATGTGCAGTCGTGCCTACCCTAACCTCCTCCCTCTTCTACTTCCACACCAACCATCTGCACCTCGACCCCTCCTTTCTTGGCTCTACTAAGGTACGCGTTTATCAAACACACAGGGCTTGGACTTTTTGAGTTGATGGGGCGCCACAATTTTTAACCACCTGCACCTGACCCCTCCTTTCTTGGCTCCACCAAGGTTTTTTTATGAAAAAAAAACTCAGATCCTTCCGTTTCTCCACCCAAGAAACGACACGCACAAACACATAAGAATCGAAACGTCTCAATGCTCAACTGGTTATATTCATGCCTCTTCAACCAAAACTCGTGACCCTTTTGAGAACTCCCAAAAAATGAGAAGTGCAACAGGCTATGATACTATGCCTACCTCTCCAATCTCACTCACCCACTCCTCCATCCCCCAATCCTCTGCCTGCCACCCCTCCCTTCCCCCACACCCATTTTCCCCACTCGCTCCTCTGGGACTCCCACCACCCCCCTCCTCGCCCCCCCCAAGGTCATTGGCTGGGCGGGCCGTTTTCTTGTTCCTCAACCCTCCTTTCTCCACCTCACCCGCTTCCCCACTCGCTCCTCTGGGACTCCCACCACCCCCCTCCTTGCCCTCTCGCCCTCCCCAAGGTCATTGGCTGGGCGGGCCTCATGCTCGTTCCTCACCGTTCCCTTCTCCAGTCCACCATTTTCCCCATTCGTTTCTGTGTTGCTCTCGCCACCCCCCTCCTCGCCCTCCCCAAGGTCATTGGCTGGGCGGGCCTCATGCTTGGGACGCTGCTCTACAATACGCGGCTCAAATACGTCCCGATTCGACGAATCTTCATGTGAGTGCAATTTTTGTGCTGCTTTGCACATGATTCTTAGTATGTGGCGTGCCTTTTCCTGCATTTTTACATAAATATCTGTTTTGTTTTCATGATTCCTACTCGTTTAGTTAAGACCTCCTGTCCATCGTTTCTACAATCAAAGCATCTTCGTCTTTGTTCACAAATTCTTTCACAGGTGGGTGCACATTTCAATGGCAGTCTGCACGATCGCCGACACGCTCCTCACCTCCCACCTCAACCTGAGGCTCTTTCCCTCTCATGCACCCCGTTAACCATTCCCTCTCATGCACCCCGTTAACCATTCCCTCTCATGCACCCCGTTAACCATTCCCTCTCATGCACCCCGTTAACCATTCCCTCTCATGCACCCCGTTAACCATTCCCTCTCATGCACCCCGTTAACCATTCCCTCTCATGCACCCCGTTAACCATTCCCTCTCATGCACCCCGTTAACCATTCCCTCTCATGCACCCCGTTAACCATTCCCTTTCTTTCCTAACCATAGTTTTGAGACGTCTCAAAACTAGATTTCTTTCCTAACCATTTCACAGGTGGGTGCACATTTCAATGGCGCTGTGCACAATCGCCAACACCCTCCTTACCTCTTGCCTCACCTGAGGCTCTTTCCCTCTCATGCAAATTCCTGAACCCCATATCTCGACCCTAACCTCCCATGGCAGGTGGGTACACATTTCAATGGCCGTGTGCACAATCGCCGACACCCTCCTTACCTCTCGCCTCAACCTGAGGCTCGGCATACCTGACACTGTCTTCCTGCTGGGCTCTGCTGCTGTTTCCGACGCCGTGAACCAGTTCAAGTGAGTAGAGCTGAAGTCAATTGAATGGAGTTAGGAAAAGGGGGAAGGGGAGGAGCGGGGGGGGGAGGGGGGAGAGTGGCATCCCTGATACTGTCTTACTGCTGGGCTCCGCTGCTGTTTCCGATGCAGTGAACCAACTCAAGTGAGTAGTTTCTATCAGGTTAGGAAGGACAGAAGGGGTGGGAAGGGGTGGGAATGGGTGAGTAGTTCAAGTGAGTACGGTTGATGTCATGCACGTTGGGGTTTAAGCATATGAAGGAGAGGGTGGAGGTGCGGGGTTGATGGCATACCTGACACTGTCTTCCTACTGGGCTCTGCTGCTGGTTCCGATGCAGTCAATCAGTTCAAGTGAGTAGGTCTGGACTCCATTCATGCAATTTCGCCCTGAGCACAGGAAACATAAAATAAGATAAGAGGGGGGAAGGGGAAGAAAGGGTTGCTCGAGTGGCATCTCCGACACAAGTCTTCCTGCTGGGCTCTGCTGCTGTTTCCCTCATCCCTTCACAATCCATCCAACTTCATGCCATTCCGTGTCCTCCTCGTGCTGTCATTGTTCCTCTTCCTCTCCCCACGCCCCTCCCTCCATCCCGTCAACTCCCATCCAGGTTCATGTCCTTCATCGTGCTCTCTCTCTCTGCCCGCCTGTGCCCGCCGGGGATAAAAGGAACGCTCTTTTCTCTCTTCATGTCTGCACCCCTCAATCCCCCCCTCTCCTCCTTTACCCCCTCCACCCCCCCGTCTCTTCACCTCCCATCCAGGTTCATGCCATTCCTCGTGCTCTCCACTCGCCTGTCCCCCCTGGGTGTAGAAGATACACTCTTTGCCCTCTTTATGTCTGCAGCCCTCCAATCCATCCTCTCCTCTTCCTTTTCCCTCCCCCCCATCCCTCCACCCCATCACCTCCCATTCAGGTTCATGCCATTCCTCGTGCTCTCTGCCCGCCTGTGCCCCCTGGGGATAGAGGGAACGCTCTTTGCTCTCTTCATGTCGGCATACAACTTTGGCAACATGCTCAGCGGCTATATGGGAAGGTTCTGAAAAGGGGCTCAGTTTCAGCCTGTTTGCCCTTCTCATCTCTGCATCCATCCTTCCATCCCCTTCTTTCTCCTCTTCCTTCCCTCCCCCCAATCTCTTCGCCTCCCTCCCATCCAGGTTCATGCCATTCCTCGTGCTCTCTGCTCGCCTGTGCCCCCCGGGGATAGAAGGAACGCTCTTTGCTCTCTTCATGTCGGCATACAACTTTGGCAACACGCTCAGTGGCTACATGGGTGCCACTCTCGCCACGCGGCTCGGAATCACTGCCACGTCATTTGACAACCTGACACTTGGCGTCACGATACAGGCTGTTTGCACGCTGCTGCCGATCCTGTTTCTGCGATGCGTGCCGGCTAATATGACTGGTGAGCATTGTGTTGTGTGTGTGTGTCTTGAGGTTTGATTTGGGCCTTGGCTTAACCATACTTGCGAGGGATAAAACAAAAAGGAGAAGAAAACACACGCACGCACACACAAGCACGCACACACATCTGCGGCGAAGGAGAAAATATTCTGCTATCAACACTGTACCACATTTAAGCAATCTTTAATATCCTCCTGGCCTGACGGGTGCTTGTTCCTTTTTCCCTTCTTGTCGTTTCCTGAATCCTTATCCTGCCAGGCGTTGGGGATGAAGGGAAGCAAGCAGTACGAGTGGTGGAGGAGCAAAGTGATGATGCGGATGCAAAGACACCTATGGGGTCGAAATGGTCAAAGAAGCACGGGTGAATGCTACGTTTATACAGCCTTGATTTATTTAAGACGATTGGTCGATTGATGTATTCAGCATTCTTGACGAGCTTATGATTATTTTGTTCGATGAGATGCCTGTTGGGCAATTCCTTTGGGAACACTGGTCCAATGCATAATGACAACGAATTAAAAGTGCATTTGGAAATATGGTTTGTAAACACTATCAACTGCCTAAACGTCAGGAGGCACACGTGGAAGACCATTCAACGCTCAGTCGGGTTAAACGAGGACGACAACAGAGTGAAGGTCCCCTGGAACGTTATTCGGAGAGGACCAAAGTGGAGAGGTACAGCTTCGTAAGATACGCGCCACCATGCTCCACGCCACCATATCTGCCCAGCCGCGTTAAATTCACATTTGGGAATCAGGGACATGTCGGGTCGGAAGTTTGGAAAGCTCCTGCTTGCGACGGTTTACCCCCCCTAAATTTCCCATCTGAGGAGATGGAATTTCAGAATTTATATTTGAAAGTTCTCTCAACTAGAAACATTGTAAAACGAGCACCGAATATTTGTGTATCCACTTCAAGAGCCGATTACAATTAGGGTAAGGAACAACCAGACCTTGCTCAAATGCAGCACATGTAGCTGAAAGGCTGTCTGCTGCTTGCCAAAATCTCCACTGAATGTGCAAATCTGCACTGTTCGAGGGCATCTGGCCATGTGGTGTCGCCCTCTGGAATCTTGCATGCTGCCGTCCCTCCCCATTGTCCGTGCGCTGCTCTTACAGGTTGCAAGTTTGCAAAATCCCTGCCCTCCCGCCTTCTCTCCCTCACGTTATTGACCCAACTTATTTGGGGCGGCAAAGTGCGTCTGCTTTGCGAGCCTTCAAAGTGTGTCTCTCCACAAGCACCCTTTTGAACTACCAGGGCGCAGTCAATGCAAAGCTTAGGTACACCCCGAGTTTCTTGTTTACTGTATTGCCGTGTGTGTCGCGTATTCTAGGTTTCTGGAGTCTGATATTGCACCACGTTTCGTTCTGCCGCTGTGTTATGATTTTTGTGACCTTGTTGGCACAGCCCGAATCCATCTTGGTACCACGACCTTAAACACGCCCCGAAGTTCTCGCATGGTGGAAGCAATAGAGCACCTTGCAAGCGGTTTCCCTGCGGGTATCAGACACACCCGTCGAGCAGCTAAATGGGACACCAGAACTCCAGCGCACTTAAGGGAATACATTAGCCACGCACCTATTAATTCGAGAATTAGCTCAAAGCTCATACCCCAAGATTTTCCGCGAAATTCTTGGTGATTTTAATAGTTTTGTTTTCGTCCCGTAGCAATGCCTTTCAGAAAAAAACAAATATCTCCTCCACCCACCAGTGGCGGTCTAGCCGCTGGCGAAGCCGACGCCGCGAAACCACGGGGCGACGAAGACGATGGCGAAACCGAGGCAAAGCGCGAAAGTTTCAACCTTGTCGCATCTGCTGACGCGTGGCAAGTGCTCGGACCCACTACCACCGCCACTGCCGGCGGCGACGTCGGTACCGGAAACCCCGAAAGCGTCAGAGGCGGCGGCGCAGGAAGCACTGCCATCGCGACTGACAGTGGTGAATGGCGGGCGGGAAGCGGAGAAGGCGCCGCCGTGATTCACGGCGGAGCGGTCGGGTTCGGTAGCCCTGGCGCGGCTACGGGACCCACTTGGAACGTCGATCACGGAAGCGGACGTGGCCTAGCCGCGATTGCCGACGGAAATGGCGGCGCAATGTGCGGCGAGGAAGGGGGAGAGCATGGCCGGTCGCTGCGGCAAAACTTATCTGGTTTAAACGCGGAGGGAACGAAACAAACGTTGGAAATTATGCTGGAGGATGGTTTGCAAATGACGGTGGAGGTCGATTCTGGCGAACGGCTTCTTAACGAGTTGGGATACAAACAGGAATTGAGACGGCGGCTGGTGAGTGGTGCAGTTTCGAGGGCGGGAATTGGATGAAGTTTCGAGAGTCGGCGTAAAAGACACTGCTGGGAAGCCTGTTAAAGAGCTACAGAGTACACTCAACGTTTCGATTTTAAGATCAGATGCACCCCGTAAGTTTGAAGCGGTTCGCCGTCGCTATTCCAATAGCGTATGTACAGCAACTTTTAGTCATACTGCGTATGTCAGGAGCCTCTAGTGTTTCCCTCCCTGCCTCTCCAACCCAAATTCCCCGCATTCCCCGCTTCGTCCCCCGCCTCTTTCAAGTAACCTTGAGGCGAGTATTCCAGTATACCTGAATCACCTTGAGGCGAGTATTCCAGTATACCTGAATCACCTTGAGGCGAGTATTCCAGTATACCTGAATCACCTTGAGGCGAGTATTCCAGTATACCTGAATCACCTTGAGGCGAGTATTCCAGTATACCTGAATCACCTTGAGGCGAGTATTCCAGTATACCTGAATCACCTTGAGGCGAGTATTCCAGTATACCTGAATCACCTTGAGGCGAGTATTCCAGTATACCTGAATCACCTTGAGGCGAGTATTCCAGTATACCTGAATCACCTTGAGGCGAGTATTCCAGTATACCTGAATCACCTTGAGGCGAGTATTCCAGTATACCTGAATCACCTTGAGGCGAGTATTCCAGTATACCTGAATCACCTTGAGGCGAGTATTCCAGTATACCTGAATCACCTTGAGGCGAGTATTCCAGTATACCTGAATCACCTTGAGGCGAGTATTCCAGTATACCTGAATCACCTTGAGGCGAGTATTCCAGTATACCTGAATCACCTTGAGGCGAGTATTCCAGTATACCTGAATCACCTTGAGGCGAGTATTCCAGTATACCTGAATCACCTTGAGGCGAGCATTCCAGTATACCTGAATCACCTTGAGGCGAGTATTCCAGTATACCTGAATCACCTTGAGGCGAGTATTCCAGTATACCTGAATCACCTTGAGGCGAGCATTCCAGTATACCTGAATCACCTTGAGTTAATTACCTTACCTCATTATTTAGGTAATCGAGACAAATTATTACCTGAATCACATCCTGGAGTCTAATCACACCCATTCACTCCCCTCACCCACCCCCCTTGCACTCCCTCTTCCCCCCCCCTCTCCCACCCATCCCGCGCCTTTCCCGCTTCCCCTCCTGCCAATAACCCCCCCACAGAGTTTCTTTGAGGTATTCTCCATCGGCCTCTCTATAGTCACATTCTACGCAGGAACAGTGCCCTTCTACTCGTGAGTTCCCCTCCCTATTCATAGGTCTCCCTATAGTCACATTCTATCCAGGATCAGTGCCGTTCTACTCGTGATTTCCCGTACTAGCATACCAAGAATCCCATATCAGAGTTCTCCCTACTCCCTCTCTTCCTTGCTAATAGTTCTTTTGTTTTCAAAGCTACCCTGAGAATTGCACCTGGGTCCTGGGCCCCCATTTATCTTAAGCTCTCTCCTGTCTACTTATCTTATCCCTCTCTTTCTCTCTCTCTCCCTCTCTGCCCCTTTCAAGAATGACATACTTTTTCTGCCTCTCCCTCTCCCGTCTGCCCCTTCATTTCAAGATTGACCTTCTTGAACGGCGGCCCCGTGGCTCTAGCGTGTGATTGGTGGATAACAGCCTCTTTCTCCCCTTCTCCCCCCCACTCTGCTCCTTTCAAGATTGACCTTCTTGAACGGTGGTCCCGTGGCACTGGTGTGGTACTGGTGGATCACAGCCTTCTTCACTCACCTCGTCGCCCTCTCCTTCGCTGAAATCTCCTCAGCCTTCCCGGTACGACCTGCTCTGTCTTTGAGAATTCTAAAAACTAAGACCCTCTCCAAAAGCAAGCATCCACCCTCTGCTGTGTGCGTTACTGCGCTCCCCGCCTGGATTACGGCCTTCTTCACTCACCTCGTCGCCCTCTCCTTCGCTGAAATCTCCTCAGTCTTCCCAGTACGTCTTCTTGAGTGCTCTCAAAACGGCATTCCTTGTACGCCGCTCGCTACCCTTCATTCCCATTGCAACTTGTCTCTTGAACGAAATCGTTTTTGACAAGTCAAAGACGTTCCACCCACCAACCTTCCCCGTCACTCACTCCCTCCCTCCCACATTGTATCCCCCCATTCTCGCTTTCCCCACTCCCCCTCTCCCCTCGCCCTTCCCCCCCCTCCCTCCCCCCCCACGGCCACCCGCAAATCAGATCTCGGGGTCGCTCTACTTCTGGGCGGCAGCTCTCGCCGGCCCAAAGCACGGCCCCTTCGCTGCCTGGATCACCGTGAGTGTTCCTTCCTCCTTGATTTCCAATTTAATCCTCCCTCTCCCCTCGTTGCCACCTGAATCACCGTGAGTGTGCTCTACCTCTAAGCGCCCTTCATTCAACCCCTTCCTCTCGCTGCCTGGATCACTGTAAGGGCCCTCTTCCCCTCAACACCCTTCATCCCCTCCCTCCCTTTGTCGCCTGGATCACCGTTAGTGTCCCTCTTCCCTGAAGGGCCCCACATTTACCTCTCCCCCCCCCCCCCCCCCCTTCTGCCTCAATTACCGTGAGTTCTCCCTCCCTCCCTGCTCCCCCGCCTGGATCAACCTGAAAACCTTTCTTCCTCAACCCCTTTCCCCTTTTCCTCTCAAAACCCTTTCCCCTCAAGCACCTTCTCAGTCTCCATTCCTCTGCCTGGAAATCTGCCCGAGAGCGCCCTTCCACCTCACCCGTCATAGCTGTTTCCCCCCCTCCCCTCTCACTCCCCGCCCCCCCTCTTCCCCCCTACCCCGCTTTCCTCCTCACCCTTCTTTTTCCACCCATTGCTCATCTCTCCTCTGCCTTTCTGTCCTCGCAGGGTTGGTTGGAGCTCCTTGGGATCTCCGTGTGCATCGGCTCTCTCTCCTTTGGAGGGGTGCAGCTGCTACAGTACACCATCTATGCTGCTACAGGTACACCATATATGCTGTTAATGGTACAGTACACAATACCTATAATCATACACAAACACTATACATATATGTATATGCATTATGTGTAATGTATATAAACTCTGCTACAGTACATAATCTACTCCACTACAGTTATACAGT